AATGTGTAAATGAATTAAAAAATAAATACAAAATAGTATAAAATTGTAATATTGGCAATTCATCGGCTATCAACATGAAAATAATTACAGCATTAGTGATACGGTATTGAAGATAGATCCCAAGTTTTATCATACACCAAATAAAAACTGTAAGTCCTGTTGATTAAGTCAATTAATGATCAGTTTCATCTTTCATTACTGTAAGTGTTACTGATGTTGTTAATCACTAATAATGTGTTGTTGTTGTTGTTTTAAACGGTGTCCATCCTTTCTCACTGTAAGGGCACATAATTTGTTTTTATGGCACTTGCTACAAAAAGCCTGTTGGTAAATTCTGATGTTGGCTTAACTAAACAGTATTTCTAAGCTTGTAACGATATGCGGTATAATAGCTTGTGACTACACCACCCCAAATGTAATGTATCTGCCAGTGCCAGCTATAAGATTATTCCTCTAGAGACAGAGTCATTAAAGTAGTTTATGATCAGTGATTTATGCTGGTGCCATGCATTATGTGGATGGGGAGGTCTTCACACAAATCAATTTGAGCACTTGTGATCACTTTTTTGGATCATGCGAACCAAATTATATCAGCTGCACAACTGTCCGATGTGTTAGAAAATGTAAACGATGTAATAAACAGTATTCTCTGCTTTATTGCTCTGTGTTAGAAAGTGCTCATTTTCTGACTCGGTGTGACCTCTTTTTTGAGGAAAGACGAGGGGAAATATTCCAGGAGGTGACAATGTTGCTGTTGTCAGTCGCTTCTCTTGTATTTCTTGACATGAATGAGAAATGTTGTTCTGACGGTTTCTCTTTTTTATGACTCAAATCTAAGAATTTCTCTTCTTGGCCCAACATTTTTAGGCTGAAACTGTGCACCAGTTGACATGGCGTAGGTCCTGGGAGCAGACAGTTGGAAATGGATTTTTATTTGGGTGGGATCCAGCGATGAATTTCTCATTAAATGTTTCTCAGATTGAAAGGGAGTAGATTAGACCTTCTTCAAATTACACTTATGTTCTGTATCTGTCAGGTTTGGTTGTTCTGCTAGCAATGCTGTGTCTTTCAGTGCTCTCCTCCTCTTCGGGAACACCCTTCTCCAGCCCTCCCAACATGTGGTATTGCTTATAGCAGTAAATTCTGATGTATTACTGGGAACATGCAGTAGCTTAAGAGAGGCTTTGGTTTCATCAAACAGTGGCAGCATCTATCACCAGAAATACTTGCTTAAATATTTGAGATACATATCTATTTATATATTTTATAAACATAAATTTTTATATTAAATTGTTATTATATGAAGTTCAAATATACATATATTTTTACATTATTTATGTGTGTGTGTATATACATATAAGAATATATAGAGAGACTATATACATACACACACATGTATGCATAGATAGATACATGCACTGAAAAAAATTCTGTTTGTAATTATTTGTCAAATTTACTAGCAAATTGTCAGTGAAAATTGTTCCTACACCAATTTTGTATAATATATAGAGAGAGTTTAATAATTCAGCTGGTTCTTTGCAATTATTTGTAAAATTTACTAGCAATTTTGAGTGAAAATGGCTTCATAGAGAGAGGATATACATGTTTCCTTCTGGAGCATCAGTGAGTGTTTTTTGTAAAAGTTGCGTATGAGTCCCTCAGTTGTCCTCAGTGTGAAGAGATGGATCTCAAAATCAAACAGACATTGTTGGAAAGGGTTTAAATATGCAAAAGATGCTGCAAAACCAAAGAATTTATGGGACCTTAAGGATTTTTCCGAAGAACAGCAGGCAGTTTAACTGTTCAGGACAAACAAGGGACTCATGAACAATTATCAGAAAAGAAATCCAGGTAACAACACAGTATCAAGAATCAAGCGTATGTAAACGTTTGAACCGGGTCATTTTTATAAATTCTCCATATTTTCTCTTGTGGTCTATATGTAAACGTCTTTTATGTGAAATATCTTATTCAGGTCAGTACTAAATAAAAAAATAACATGCATTTATTATTATTATGATCCCTCTTGTTTTGGTAAAATAATTAACATTTTGCAGATACTGCAAAGTGTATGTAAAATTTTGACCACAACTGTATACATATGTACAACATATACATGTAATATGTGTAAATAAAATCGATGGGCATTTGTAATTTCATATAGATTACAGTTAGATGCACAAACCATGAATGAAACTATCATGCCATAGACATTTATTATTAATGTTTTCTGCATTTTTGTGACCCTACAACAACAAACATATCCTCCTAATCGCTAAAAAAATTCCCTACATGTGTTCTAGAGGCTCAGCAAGGGATGGAGGGAAACACATTTCTAGACAGACAGTCATCAGGGCCTGGAGGTCTGAAAGAAGTCTCTCAAGAGTCTGGGAAGTCCCTGTGTTTTCTCGGGAATGGGCTCACTCAAGAGGGACAAATGATGAAGTGATGCATTTTTAGTGTTGAGGGAAGTAAAATTGCAGGAATTCAGCAGCTTGATTAAATTAGTGTCTGTCGTGGAGGGAAAAATGAACCTTCTGTCTGATCCTCTCAAGTTACACCAATATCAAGGAAATAAAAGCTGATTAAGTTATCCCTCCTATACACACAGATGCAAGACTGCATGAGGGGAGGCGAAGTGAAACCTGTGACAGCCTGGTGAGAGCCGGAGAAAGAGGAAAAAGCTGTAATAATAGATGAAATCATTATCAGAGAGGTATGACAGTGCACTAGTTCATAGAGCGGACATACCCATAAAACAACACTCTCTTAGGAGAAAGAGTGCAAGAGTTTGGTCAAAGGTCGACACTGAACACTGTTCTGTAAGAAATACTCAGAGGTAAAACACAACAACTAAAACCAGGGAGATTTACACCCTGCAGTAGAGGAAAGCTGGGTAAGATCTGCTAGTTTTGTTCTGCTCAACTGAAATAACTTTTTTGGTTTTTTCGCATAAGGATATTTATATGGCATCTTTAACATAGGGCCATACACGTGAAGTGGCACAACTTGCCCCAATGCCGTGTCGATGGCTAAGTAGGTCCATCTTGGGTAAACTATACAATTTATTTATTTTTTAAAAAGCATAATTGACCCATTCACTAAGCTCCACCAGTTTTGGTTCATCAGACAAGCTTTAAAGAATGTCCCACAGGAATGATCTGGAGATTTCAGTAAACAAAGTGATTTTCAGTAAATATGCTTATAAAATGTGCTAAAAAAAAAAAACTGATTGCATATTATTCTTATGTAGACTGCAATAACTTGTGAAAATGCAAATGTGGTATTGGGGAGATTTCTGCACTAATACCAAATATATATTCAAATAATGAAAAACTATTTATTAATGGCCTATTCCCTTCCAAAACTTTAATTGTTAAATTTGATATATTAAATTACGTATTAATATACAAATTTATTAATATAAAAGTATGTTTGTAGGATTTCATGAGACCAAACATTATTATTATATTATATTATATTAATGATATTATATATTTGCTTTGACAGATTAACATTCATATTTAACTTTTCCATGTTAAAATAATTTTTAGCATATAAAAAAACATTTCATTTTCCAATAACAGACAGCTAGACATGATGGGCCCTTCTTAAATTTATAGTGACATAAATCTGTGTACTGTTACCTATACAGGTGGTTGTCCTTCCACCGGCACATCCATTGAAACAGGTGAGACATAACAATATTTGCATATGTCGTAGGTGAAGTTATTAAGAGGACTTTTCAAATCTATATCAACAGAGTTACATTCTGTAGCACCTTCAAGTTTCTGTGTGGTACAATCCACACTGAAACTTTTGAATGAATTGTGAGTGGAAAATTTTCGCATCTCCAAAAACAACTGAACACAGCTAGGGTTTTCTGCTGGCTATTTCAGTCTAATGAAGTGCATCAACAGTATATTCAAATGAGTAGCTGCTCACCATATATCCTCTTGAATTTACATTTATTAAGTGAGCTTTACTTTCATATTCAAGAATACAATTCACACTAAACATTCAGTGTAATTTGTGAAAGCAGTGCTCTCATTGTATAAGTAGTAGGGCATGATGGGGTAAGATGAGTCATCCAGGAAACTGCACAATTTTTGTCAAGTGATGAAATATCTAAAAAGGAGGCACAATCTGCATGTGAGAGATGCAAATGAGAATGGTGTCAAAGGAAATGTGTTTAATTACAATCAAATATTTTGAATATTAAAGCTGTCCTATCTCCTATCTTCCTAGCTCATATTTTTATTTGAAATGTCCTATAACATAGTACTTGTTTTACCTCCATCCAATTTCTCCTAGAGGGTAAAATGGCAGTTTACCTCAGTCTAGCTAGTTTTAGCCAGAATACTGTGCCACTGCTGTAGATGTCACTGTTTACCTCAGTGTTAGCGCACGGCTGTCACATTCGACCACATATGAAACAGAAAAGTCAAACACGTGGGGTTCGAACACATTTGATTTGCTTATTCGATTAAACGTGAAGTATGTGCAATATGAAACCACCAAAGAGCCTTCGCGTGAAGATGAAACAGCGGCTGCTGGGTTTCACCAAATTTTCCGTTCGAGAAACTTTGAATGGTCAGCTGCGCTTCATTACTTATGTTTTTATAACAAAATCCAGTTTAGCCAAACCAAAGCCGTGTTTCGTTCTTCGTCTTAATTAAGACGTCTTAATATATAGTTAGTAGCCTACATGAATAAGATGGAGTAAACACGCGCTCGTGACGAAACGTTTTCCAGAACGATACCAACATTCACTCAGCATTTCTACAACATCTCGTGCCAGTGACTTTTTTTCACTACAAAACATCTAACAAACTATTTGCAGTCACGACACGCCGTAAACAAGCGACTCCATCCTGCGAAGATTAGCAAGAAAACACTGCCATCAAATAAATCTCAGTTGGACGTTTAGATGGTGATTGTGAAATCGACTGAGACCCAGGGCAGCAGACGATCGAGAGAAACTGGGGTGGGCGGGAGTGCGCTGAAGTCACACGATAAAAAGGCTTTGCTCTTGGGAAAAAACTCTTGATTCTTTCCGCAGCCTTCCGTCCTCCATCGTGCGGTATGAAGCGTCTACCTGGATACTTACCATCATTACGCAAATTTCGGTGACTTTCTTTTCCTCCCGACTTGGATTCTACTTTATGATGATTTTGGATATGTACCTTTGGGATGAAGAGAACCCTTTCCCTGCCCGCCGAAGTAAGATAAAATAGGGTTTCGCTGACACTGGAGTTACTCTTCTCGTTCCATATGAAGGAGTCAAACGTAAGTGAACGGCTTTTGCTTTAACGCGAGTAATTTAGCGTGAATCACATGTGATTTGCATTCGTTTTTGCTACGTGCGCTTGCAAAAATGCGCTGTCTGCAGAGCGTAACTGGAGGACATGTAAATGAACACGATAGCGTGTTTTATATTACCGGTACAACACATTGAAGCGACAGTCTGAATAGACTTTCTCGCATCGTTGAGCATTTCACTCTTTTAAGACATTAAATGCGCACTTAATTAGTAGGTGGTGGTGAGGAAGGACTAGCTACATAATGGTTTATTGTTTAAAATGAACTTGACAAGCTTGTCGTTAATTAGGCTACTACAAACAGCGTAACAGCATGTTTGTTTCCATCCATGTAACTTCACAACCATTTTTCGTCATTTCTACTCAGTTTGAATTTTCGGCGTTTGAAACAGTAATGATCAAAAGAAGAGCAACTTGCAACTTCGAAAAAATTTTTTAGGCAGGAATTAAGCTTAAGTGTTCCATTTCAGTGGGTTAAAATGTTTTACGATGTGGTGAGACTCATATGCTAATTCGATCTGATCAAACGGCAAACTCAGCTTTCGTTGTCGTTTAACTAGAGAATATTATGTCTTCGACAATCTGTGGTGTCCTCTCGATGATATATGTGAAATTATATCAAAACCATGATCTATGATCGATAAATATAAAGTCCTCGAAAACGGAGATAAGAGTAAATTAATACTGATAAAACGACACGACCTTTGGACGTTTACGCAGGTGCTTGCGAAAAATCTTCATGCACATACAATTTGTGAGAACTAGATTTTCCTGATACATTACACACTGTCTTGGACATGTTGTACAGCTGGAAATAAGCAAGGGGAAATGGTTTTCATTGACTGTGGGGGATATTTACTGAAAATGCATCAGGCTTTTCGAACAGCATCAGTAACGCTTCCCTTGCCTTTAAGTGAACTAGGTGAGGCTTTGCGCTTTTTTTTTAGGTAGGCTACTTTTTTTTTAGGTAGGCTACTGTAGATTATGAACATTCACCTGAAAAACATTTGCCATGTTGTAAATATACTCTCATTTCAATAAGACCTAGTCTATATCGATGTTTGAAGTCGTTCACCTTGCACCCTCTTAGCCCTGCTGGGAATTTGCATTACCTCTTGCTGGGAGTAAGCAGTTTCAGGATGAAAATCTGGCATGTGGTGCTCACCAAGACCTAGACTTAATTTATTTTTGGTGCATTTTTGCTATTTTATTGATAGACAGTAATAAAGAAACAGAACACAAAGAAGAGGATGGGGAAACGACTGAGGCTTGACTTGAACCCTGGTCTCCCATAAGCATGGCACCTCAAACAGACTGCTAGACTGTTGCTTCAATAAAACAATTTAAGTACACATAATATATGTTTAACTTTGGTGGTTTTAAAACTGCATTGCTTGGCTTTGACACACCTTCCACTGTATTTGAAACTCATTGCTTGTTACCTTGTCTTACTTGTAACCTTACATGAAATAAAGTTAATCATTTGCAAACATAAGCACAGGAAAGCTCGCTCATACTGTACACGTGAAAGTTTTGATTTCTGATCAGGATTGAGTCATTTGATTTTTGTGGTTAATCTATTGGTGAGAATGTAATATATGAGGAAAGTGTTGTGTGAACACCTTCAATTCAGTGTACAGTATTCTGTGGCTTCAGTTAAGAAACCAAACCTAGTACATGAATAATCATTGAAATAATTGTTCAGCACTTTACCGTCACCCGTGACATACATTGAGCCCTTTGCCAAAAACTGAGGCTTAATTATGTGAAACATCTTGCATGAAAACAAAACACCTTCAACCATATGCCAAGCCCAAAAGCAAAAATAAGTTAGTGACAGTTTGCAGTGTGAATATGAGGAAGTGTTACGCATCGAAAACTAACAATCTTGAAGTAGGTACAACCTTTTTTTGCAGTATTAAATTTCCTCTTCACTAGATTTCTGTCTAGTGTGTTCTTCACACACGTTCACAAGAAGCGCATAGTTCAACACAGTTCTTTCCTGGAAGATTTCATTGTGCTGTGAAACGTGCAGCTATACTTGCAGTTGACATTCTTGTGTATGGACTGAATTAAACGTACAGATGTGATTTGCATGTTTAGCCTCTGAAATTAGACATGCATATTAGCACCTCGGCTGTGAAGTCACTACAAATGAAATGAGCTACAGCAACACAGCCGCAAATTATGTTGTATAGACCAGTGTTTCCCAACCGGGGTGCCATATGTCGAGAGCAGGGGTGCCGTGTAAAAAATCATTTTTTTATATTTTAAAATTGCTAAAATGTTTTTAAAAAAAGCATCTATTATATAATATCCATTTCTGATGTCGCCAATAATTAGAGATGCACCGAAATTTCGGCTGCCGAAAATTTGTTCACCGCTCAGGTTTCACTTTCACGTGGTGTGACGCTCTGCGTATTATCCCGCTCTATGCGTGTGCGCTCTGCTCAGTCGCTCACGGCCCATGTGAGTGCTCCACTCGTATAACGTTCATGCGAATCGGAACAGCAAAGTCCACTCAAAAATTGAGCTGACAGGAAACATCGATGTAGTACACGATTGCCACCATTGATGGACATTTTTTTTTAATAATATTAAAAATATCTGTATGACAGTATATTCTGCAGTTCTTCCCTGTTGTACCGAATATCTATACTTTTCAAATTATCATATCGAAGTTAGAAATTCAAATATTGTGACAAAATTAATTTTGTAGGGTGCCACAAGTTTCTTAAAATTTCCAAAGGGTGCCGCGACAAAAAAAGGTTGGGAAACACTGGTATAGACCACAACAGTAATCCTATTCACAATCTTTAAAACTGGTTTTAGTGATAACATAAATCTTTCAAGAGAGCTAGAACAAACGAGGTTGTGAAGCAATGGCATCTGCTTGTTTTAAGTTGTAAGTAACTTTTTAAATGATGTTATTTAAACTTTTTTTTTTTAAATCACATTTTGGCAAATACCTGAAGTAACACAATCCACAATCCTTAAAGGGATAGTTCACCCAAAAATTTGATGTTTATCTGCTTACCCCCAGGGCATCCAAGATGTAGGTTACTTTGTTTCTTCAGTAGAACACAAATGAAGATTTTTAACTCAAACCGTTGCAGTCTGCCAGTCTTATAATGCAAGTGAATGGGAATCACGGCTTTGAGAGTTAAAAAAAAAAAACATACACAAACAAAACCAAATTAAACCCTGCGGCTCGTGACTATACATTGATGTGTAAAGACACGAAACGATCGGTCTGTGCAAGAAACTTAACAGTATTTATATCGTTTTTTACCTCTGATGCACTGAAGAAACAAATTCACCTACATCTTGGATGCCCTGGGGGTAAGCAGATAAACATCAAATTTTCTTTTTTGGGTGAACTATCCCTTTAAGCAATGTCCTGTTACTGTGGAAAAGTCCTAAATACTGAATGTTAGTTAATATGGGATGTTGCAGCATTACAGCATTGAAGACAGAGGTAATGTGTTCTGATAAGAAAATAAATGAAAAAGACAGAAAACCCAGATGTATTGCATTATTCACAGAGATTTATGGGTTTGGTTGTCAATCACTTCCCTCATAAAATGGCCATAAATCATGTACCGTTGTCTTTTCTGTTAGACAGTATACATACAGGTGCATCTCAATAAATTAGAATGTCGTGGAAAAGTTCATTTATTTCAGTAATTCAACTCAAACTTCAAATCAAATGTGTAGATAACTCTTTAGTGAATCATTATTTTTAATGAAAATAAATAGAAAAAATAATCAAAACTTCTGAAAAATATGTGAACCAAAGTCACAAAAAAAGTGAGAAGTCGTTGTAGTAGTAATAAGACACACAAGGGCTTTTTCCTCCCTTACAATGATAAAAATAACTGTAACATATAGAGCCATAGCTTTATGTAAAAAAAAACTGCACCAACAGCACTATGACAAACGACATGTTTAATAAAGAATTAATATTTGATGGATAAATCTGGAGCGTATGGTCAAAGGTAATTAGTAACACCAGATTTTCTGGATTTTACTAGAAATGATTTTGTTATGTAATTATTTTAGTTTCCTGTTTGGGTTGAAGGTATGCAACAGTTTGTTGTTGTGTCTACGTTTGAGAAAGTTTATGATCTGTAAATCTGATTTCGTCATATCAGATGATTCACTTGGCGCTGTAAAGATAACTTGTGGATTTTAGTGTTTTACACTGAGTAAAGCAATAAGCAGAAGTCCACTAGATACTAAATCGATTACACAGTAAACCAAACACACAATGACTGATTGTTTAAGTAAAAAAAAAAATTGGTACATTAATAAGTTAATACATAAATATGTGGTTTGAAATAAGTCTAGCAAGCCTTTCCGGAGATAAAATACCAGAAATAGGAATGATGGGTTGAACCATAATTTAAGCGAACATTATCAGCAACATCATTGCACCATTCTATTAAAGGGGTCATATGATGCGATTTCAATTTTTCCTTTCTCTTTGGAGTGTTACAAGCTCTTGGTGCATAAAGAAGATCTGTAAAGTTGCAAAGACTAAAGTCTCAAATCCAAAGAGATATTCTTTATAAAAGTTAAGTCAGCCACGCCTACCTAAAACGGCTCGTTCTAACACACCCCACATGTCTACGTCACGATGTGAGAAGATTTGCATAACGCCGCCCAAACGTTCACGCAAAGAAAGAAGGCGTAACTTAAAAATATTTGGCTGCACAACTGTTGATAATTCTAATAATAAATCAGCATATTAGAATGATTTATTATGTCCCCACTGGATGCAACACATGCCTCGTTTATAATGGGTTTTAATGTTTTTGTGTGGTCGCTCCGGCCGGACAGGGCATCACAGTATGGTAAGGGGCGTAATATTCACGCTTGAGGTATTCGGCCAATCACAACGCACTGGATAGCTGGCCAATCAGAGCACACCTCGCTTTTCAGACCGATGAGTTTTGTAAAAATCGA